TATCGTAGAAAAGAAACAATAGTACTCTTGTTTTAAGAGATCTTTGACTACATAGAATTGCATGTTAAAGCTTTTTCAGTATGAAATTGGCACAAATTTCAAATAAGGGCTAATAAAGTAGATGAAATATGTCAAACACTTATTGATTAAACAGGAAAATTAGTGTGAATTTCAAGAACTATGACCAAAACATACACAGATAAAAGTTTCCAAACAGCTTATCGGAAACAACACTATAATACTGCAAACATTGTGGCTAATTGGTATATAAGGTTCACATACATTGGATGAGTATAGAGAAGAAACATAAGTATTGGTTCTTGTCGCGTCAATAAGTTGGTGGGTTGAGAATGTTCAAATCAATTATAGTTATCTTCTACTAGTTCATAACAAGTAAAGAACAAAAAAAACAAATGAACATAGTTAGTGACCCTCACCTTACCTTAAATGTCACGACCCGAGCCTGATAGACTAGTTAGCCTATCAACTTCATTTGGCCCAAACCACTGGCAAAAATACTTAAACTGAGGTCGATAATAATACACTCATTAGACCCTTATAAGCCACTCTTAGCCTTGTCCACTTTTGATGTGAGACTAATGGAAGTATTATAATTTTTCTCATTGCTTAGCGTCCTTATTAAGGCTCAACATTATACAAATCAAACCCTAGCATGGTGTATATGAGGTATAACCCGATGGTGGCTTCACGTTGTAACGAGTCTTTTGACTCCGTCTACAGATAACCCTTTCCTACTTGAGCCACCTCACCATGCCCAATTACTTGGTCGATTCTGATACCAAATGTCATGACCCGGACCGTGATATTTATATTCTTTTGTGTTAACATAATCAAAGGTATTGTTATTTTTTAAAAGTCTTCTACAAATATTTTATAATATCCAACCAAACCCAAAAAGCTTTTGATCTCTAAAACATTTAAAGATCGCTTTCAATTCAGCACAACTTCAATCTACTAGGGGTCAACAAATATATCAGCACTAAAAATTACATAACCAATAAACATAACTTCATTAAGCCAAAAATTGCACTTGCTCAATTTATAGTTTCTCTTTATCTTAGGACTTTCAAAACAATCCAAAAATGTCATGACCCGAGCCTGATGGGCTAATTGGCTTATCAACTTCGTTTGACTTAAACCACTGATCAAAATGCTTAAGCTAAAGTTGATAATAGTACACTTGTCGGATCCTTTATAAATCAATCTTTATCTTACCCACTTCAGATATGGGACTAATCAGTGTGTTATATTAAAACAAAAGGACAATTTGTAAGAGCAATAAGATTAAGAGATAGTTCTATTGTTCTAAATAAACAATTGCTTGACAATAATAAAGATTGGTCCACCTAAAGAAAAAAAACATAATATGGTACAAAATTTGAAAAAGCGATGTTAGAAAAAGTTAAAGAGAGAAGAAACATAAGTATAGAAAAGAAACATAAGTGGATAATTGGTATATAAGGTTCACATACATTGGATGAGCATAGAGAAGAAACATAAGTATTGGTTCTTGTTGCATCAATAAGTTGGTGGGGTGAAAATGTTCAAATCAATTTTAGTTATCTTATGCTAGTTCTTAATAAGTGAAGAACAAAAAACAAATTACTATATTCAGTGACCCTCACCTTACCTTAAAACTAAATGACAATTTGTAAGAGCAGTAAGATTCAGAGATAGTTCTATTGTTCTAAACAAACAACTGCTTGACAATAACAAAGATTAGTCCACCTGAGGAAACAGAAACATAATATGGTTCAGTGTTTGAAAAAGTGATGTTAGAAAAAGTTAAAGAGAGAAGAAACATAAGTATAGAAAAGAAACATCAGTGGATAATTGGTATATAATGTTCACATACATTGGATGAGCGTAGAGAAGAAACATAAGCATTGGTTCTTGTTGCATCAATAAGTTGGTGGGGTGAAAATGTTCAAATCAATTTTAGTTATCTTCTTCTTGTTCTTAATAAGTGAAGAACAAAAAACAAATGACCATATTTAGTGACCCTCACCTTACCTTAAAAATAAATGAAATTTGTAAGAGCAGTAAGATTCAGAGATAGTTCTATTGTTCTAAATAAACAACTGCTTGACAATAACAAAGATTAGTCCACCTGAAGAAAAAGAAACATAATATGGTTCAGAGTTTGAAAAAGCAATGTTAGAAAAAGTTAAAGAGAGATATTCTCTTTGGATTTGCAGCAAAGGGATGAAAAAATACGTTTAAAATAGAGCTTGCAGATAAGTTTGTTTAGAATACCTCATCCAGCGGACAGCTGTAATACTGCTGACCTCCATTCTTTCCAGTTCTTGAAACCAACACCAAGCAAGATCCAGCACCACATGGACATTGAAGATCTGGAACTGACAAGCTAGATTGACGATTCATGGGATTTTGAGAAGGATGGCTCGATATCGGGTTATCACACCATTCAAAGAAGTTGCATCCCCCATTATCCTGGACAAAAGAGTTATCAGCAAAATCCCAAAATTCAAAAGGAATGTCAGGTCTGTAGCGTTGTTAAGCTACCAAGTAGTTTGTTAAATGACAGAAGGCCAATCAAGAGAAAGAAGATAACTCCAAAGTCTCATTTCCAATCAACCAAAAGCAGCTAGCTAGAAAGAGTGGGGGAAAGCACAATAAAAGACCACAGCCTCTTCACAAGTACAAATTGGGAAGAATACAAGACATGAAGAACTCGCTGATCCTATGCACTTAAACCTTTCTCTAATACGGCACCACATAAAAGATAGTTCCTTGTTTCCACTGCGCCTAAGTATCGTAAGCCAAAGTATCAGTAAACCATCGAGACTCAGCATTACTGTTAAAAAAAGAAAAGAGATGTTTCTGGAGTAGCAAAACACTTTCCTTCTCCAGTTGAATCTTCACCTATCAGGCAAAGAATCTAAACGACATTCTTGGAAGAAATTAACATTCTATGTTCCTAAAATATTTGGATTAATTATGTTAAAATGAGACGTCATTTTCAACTCCTCACCAGAGAACTTCTCTGCGGATAAACAACAAACAGGTAAAAGACATGTCTTTTCACCAGTGGTTAGAACAGATGGCTGACAAATGAAGTTGGCGCGAGAGGACCAAACGCTCACCACTTTAAGAGGGCAGGTATAGAACTTCCGCCCCGGATTCTTGGCAGTATTGGAAATGCGAACAAGACAACTTCCCGAACCACAAGGGCAAGCCTTCTCTGGGACCTCCCCCTCCTCTCTGTCAGAGGAAGCGCCAACGGAAGCCAACCCTCCTCCCCACTCCCTTCCGCGCGGGGCGTCGCAGTCCCTCGCCCAGTGCCCCTCCACACCGCACTTGAAGCAGGCGCCGCCACCGGTCGAAGACGACATGGGCGAGGGATTGTTACCGGTTCGGATACCACTGTTGCTGTTGTCCTTCTTTCGGCCGAGCTTCGACTGCTGCTGCTGCCAGAGGGAGCTGTGACTGCCTCTGAGCGCAGCCATATAGGAACCCTCCTCGACGGCGGGGTTGCTGGCGGCTGGGATAGCAGAAGCAGAAGCAGAGGAGGAGGAGGAGACCTTCTGGCGCTTAGCGCTGCCTCGGGTCACCGCGGCCTCTGCCGCTTCCACCAGCGACAGGAAGACATCTTCGTCCTCTATCACCTCGATCATCTGGGCGACGCTTCGAACTCGACGCCCGAACTCCCGTACAAAAATATCGAATATTTCGCGGGCATTCGGATTTCGCGCGATCATTTTCGCCTTCTAAAAATTGTCCTCCTCAGCACCCTGAAACGCTTCGCGGGTAACGTCGCCCTGATAAGTGGCCACGGGTGTAGTAGACGCGGAAAGACCACATCACCCCTTGCAATACTGCAGGGACAAAATGGTCCACCTAAAAATATTCTAAAAGAACATAAAATTTTGGTCCTTTACCATTGTAGCACCTACAACCTTTTTTTTCTAAATTACTATTTTACAGCCCTTTTTTATCATCTATAATTTTTATTTAATTTTTTAATTTTTTTTTAAATTATTTATTATAAATATCCTTCATTTCGGATAACATCGAAGGGTTAACAAACGAGCAACGTATTATGATAAAAAAATTATTGACGGTCAGAATGACGTAAGGGGGTGTAGGAAAGAAAAAAAATAAAAAAGAGTAATAAATAATTTTTTTTTTTTAAGGGTTGTGAATATTTTTTGTTTTTGTTCTTTTACCTAAATGATTACACTAGTGATTATCCTTTACTTATTAATATTAGTCTTATTCGAATTTGACCCTCTAAATTAATTTATTGATTCCGAAACAAAAACTTTTGTGGGTATGCTATGGATGCAATTTCACGAGACCCACTCGAACCCAACTATTTTTCGACACTGAACTCGACTTGGACCAAGATTTGACTCCGTAAAACTTGGTTCGTTTCCTTGTCAAAACACCGTGTTGAAATTGTAGTGCCAAAACGTGGGCGGTCACTCGAACGCTAATCATCGACGAAGACCACAAATTTTGGGAGCCAGTGAATGCGCGACAGCCACATCTCACACAGGAATCCACATTGCAAAGCTGCACATCTTTGGGACGTTGATGCGTCATTAACAGCATGATTCAGTCAACGCGGCATAGCTTTTTGTCTGCAGAACTATGTCTGCAATTATTGATCCCCCGGTAATGAATTAGGTCAAGATCTCTTTTGACTTCTCTTATGATTCGAGATCCTGTTGTTAGGAAGCATTTCTGTAATAACAAATCGGATTCTGTGATATCTATGTTGCTTAAACCTTTGATCCACAGACAGGAGAAGATGACAAGAGAAGGGGAGGCATGCAGAACTGCACAGAAGCAGCGGTGTGGTTGCCATCGCCGAGAGCGAGGCGACGGAAGGGCAAGACTTGAACACACACAGAAAAGCCTGTGACTTGGCCACCTGCCTCACCACAATTCTCCCGATGTGCACCGTTCACATCAGACCCCATTTCCCCACTCATACCCACGCTCTATAAATTGCTTCCTTCCTTCTCCCAAATGGCAGCACTCCCACTTCAGTTAAATTCTTAATCCTTCTGTTTCAGCTACCAAGTCCGAGCTATGCTTTCTGCTGTCTGCAATGTTGCCAGTTCTTCTTCTTCCGTTGCAGTGTTGGGCCCGAGTAGGTCGAGATGCATTAAGATAACGAGAAAGCAATCCTTTACCGCTAGCTCAGTCCGTTGCTCCGCTTCCTTCGAGTCCCTCCTCTGCTTCGCCACCACCTCCACCTTCTATCCGCCACTAGCGCATCTGACAGAGGACTACCCGTCGAGGCTGGAACGATCGAAACACCATGGCGATGACCGGATCATGAAACCCAGCAGGTGGAACATCTTCCAGCGGCTGGCTGCCGCAGCCTTGGACGGCGTCGAAGACGTCTTCATATCGAACGTACTCGAGCGCCGCCGGCCGCTTCCGAGGACCGCCGACCCTGCTGTTCAGATTGCTGGCAATTTCGGCCCGGTGGATGAGCGGCCTCCCTGCCGCAACCTTCCCGTCGATGGCCGGATCCCTGCCTCCCTCGACGGCGTGTACGTCCGAAATGGCGCCAACCCTCTATTCGAGCCTGTCGCCGGCCACCACTTCTTCGACGGTGATGGCATGATCCACGCCGTCCAAATCCGTGATGGCGCCGCTACGTATGCCTGCCGCTACACTGAGACGGAGCGCCTCCGGCAGGAGCGCGCCATCGGAAAGCCGGTGTTCCCCAAGGCCATTGGCGAGCTCCACGGCCACTCGGGCGTTGCCCGTCTCCTCCTCTTCATGGCTCGAGGCCTCTTCGGGCTCGTCGATCCCACGCATGGCACCGGGGTGGCCAACGCTGGCCTCGTCTACTTCAACGATCGCCTCCTCGCCATGTCGGAGGATGACGTCCCCTACCACGTTAGAATCACTCCCTCCGGTGACCTCGAGACGGTCGAGCGCTATGACTTCAACGGCCAGCTCTGCTCCTCCATGATCGCCCACCCGAAGCTCGATCCATCCACCGGCGAGTTGTTCGCTCTCTGCTACGACGTTGTCCGGAAGCCTTACCTCAAGTACTTCTACTTCTCTCCGGACGGCAAGAAGTCCCCCGACGTCGAGATCCCCCTCGAGCAGCCGACCATGATGCATGACTTCGCCATCACCGAGAACCACGTCGTGGTTCCGGACCAGCAGGTGGTGTTCAAGCTCCAGGAGATGATTCATGGCGGCTCTCCGGTCATCTACGACCGCGAGAAGATGGCACGTTTCGGAATTCTGCCCAAGCGCGCCCGCGACGCATCGGAGATGAAGTGGATCGACGTCCCCGATTGCTTCTGCTTCCACTTATGGAACGCGTGGGAGGAGCCGACGACCCACGAGGTGGTGGTCATCGGCTCTTGCATGACGCCGCCGGACTCTGTGTTCAACGACTGCGAAGAAAGCCTTCGAAGCGTACTCACGGAGATTCGGCTCAACCTCGCAACCGGAAAATCCACACGGCGCCCCATACTGTCATCGCAACTTAACCTCGAAGCCGGTATGGTGAACAGGAACAAGCTGGGGAGGAAGACCCGCTACGCCTACCTGGCCATCGCCGAGCCATGGCCCAAGGTGTCGGGGTTCGCCAAGGTCGACCTCTCCACAGGAGAAGTAAGCAAGTTCCTCTTCGGCGAGAGCAGGTACGGCGGCGAGCCTTGCTTCGTGCCAAGAAACGCGGGAGCGCTGTCGAGGGAGGACGATGGTTACGTCCTCACCTTCATGCACGACGAGAGAACGTCGGAGTCGGAGCTACTGATCGTGAATGCCGGCGACATGAGGCTCGAGGCAGCGGTGAGGTTGCCGTCCCGGGTTCCCTACGGCTTCCACGGCACCTTCGTGGCCTCCAAGGACTTGCAATCGCAGGCTTAGGAGCGCAATTGATTCGTTGCTTCAGCTGACACATTCTTCTTGCTTGATTGAAAACCCCCGCATTTTAATTTCAATATTCCAATTTATTAATTGTTGGAATAAGTTAATGCAAGACTTCACGATGTTTTATGTATAAAATTTCTTGAATATTGAGTATATATTTTCTTATCAGTAACCACATGTAATCAGTTGCCAAGAAATACAAATCGATTGCAAGAGATCAAATCCTTTGTGCTCCAACTTGATCGATCGCTTCGTAACTTCTGATGACGATGGAGTTTTTAGAATGAATCCTACTTTGTGTGATGATAAACAGGGCTTACTTCGGAACATCTCACTTTGATTATATTGATTTCTGTGCTCGATAATAGGTTCGATTGAGTTATATAATTCACCTTCCTCATGGAAATATATTATTACTATTTTGGATACATCAACTTTATATATATTAGGTTGCTTTTCGTATCAATTTATGCTGTTAAATCGTAACTTAAGTCGTTCTGGAATCATTTCCATACCAACACGAGCATTGCTCAGTTCCCGATCCAACCCACGATAGTCGACACGTCGACACAGCGCACACGAAGATAGCACATGACCACCGAGTCACCCCTGAAACTTGTTAAAAGTCACGTGGCAATCGACGTGTTCTCATCACGGCATCATCATCATTAGCATTTGACGTGAGATTTTTCTGTCAATATATATATATATATATATATATATATATATATGTATATATATATATATATATGTTGTGGGAAACAACTTTTTAAGCCGTGGCCTCGGGACTGACGCGGTTTGTTCGGGGATCCGAATGGCAGGGGTTTTGCGTGGCGTCCCTCGAGGTCTCCCGGTGGCCGGTCGCGGTGGTCGAGTCGGGATGTCGCACTGGGTGGAGAGCTTCACCGCAACGTCGAGAAGAGGCAACCCCGTCTTCGCACCTGCACATAGGTCGGGTCGGAAGCTCGACCCGACCCCTCCGATAATCAAGTCAGTGAGGTAGAGGGGGTTTTTGGCGAGGGAGTGCCTCTCTTTATGTGTTGTGACTGTGTTCCTCCCCCTGTTTGTCTATAACTCCGGGGTATTTATGGATGAGCTCGATGTTACCTGATGTGGCTGCCAGCAGGGGTAGAACCGTACCGATGGCGTCTGACATTGCCACTGGGGTGGCGTGGAGAACCGGCTGTCGTAGGGCATGGGCGAGCCTCGGTCGACGTCCTCCTCTGTCTCGGCCGAGCGCGTGAGGTCAGACGGTTGGATCGTTGACCGGGGACGGGTGACGCTGACGCATATCAAGTCGATGTTAATGCCTATTTCCTCGGGCAGTGTGTCGCCTGGGTACGGCTGACATCATAGCGCATCACATCGCCACTTTTACTTATATCTATATATATATATATATATATATATATATATATATATATATATATATATATATAATTTTGCGACCTGAACAATAAACAGATTCTTTTTAGCAGTTGGTTGACGTGACGTTATCTTTGTGGATGGAATAGACTGAAAAGAGAATAAAATAATAATAATAATAAATGCAAATTCATTCCTAAGGTAGGCAAGAGATGCTTCTAGTGTTATCCACTGCCTGGCTCTCGGTTCTTCACCGATCTCGACCGTCCATCATCGCCATGGCCTCCGTATCCTCGGCGCCTTCCGCCGCCATCGCCGGAGGGGTTGAGTCCCCGGAGGGGAAGCGGGTGGTGGTCTGCGGGGGCGGCGTCATCGGCGCGTGCACCGCCTACTTCCTCGCGACGAAGGGCACCGCCCGCGTCACAGTGGTGGAGAAGTCCGCCGTCGCCTGCGCCGCCTCCGGAAAGGCCGGTGGATTCCTAGCCCTCGACTGGTGCGATGGCAGCCCGCTCGGTGGCCTCGCCCGCGCTAGCTTCCACCTCCACCGCTCCCTCGCCGCCGCCCTCGACGGTCCCACCAACTACGGCTATCGACCACTCGACACCCTCTCCCTCTCCCTCCTCCCCGACGCATCCTCCGCGGCGGCCGCTCGGGCCTCGCCTTCCCTTCCTCCATGGGTCGATGGCCCCGCGGCCCGGCCGCCGCGGACGATCGGGACCACTGATACCACTGCCCAAGTCCATCCACAGCTCTTCACCCGGACACTCCTCTCCGCCGCCGCCGCGGAGCACGGGGTGGAGGTGGTGATCGGCGAGTTGGACCGGGTAGAGGTGGAGGACGGCCGGGCAGTTGGTGTGGCTCTCAAGGGCGGCGGCGGCCCTTTCATTCAGGCGGACGCTGTGGTTTTAGCCCTCGGCCCGTGGTCGAATCGATCGCCCATCGTCTCCTCCCTCTTCAACGTCTCTAGCCTCAAGGCTCATAGCATCGTCCTCCGGCCGAAATCCCCCGCCGCCATTACCCCTCACGCCCTCTTCCTCACCTACCAACCAGCGCCTGGGGCCAAGACCTTGGACCCCGAAGTCTATCCAAGACCCACAGGTAACAAACAAAGAAATGCATGCTGTTGGTTTCTTCTGGTAGTTCTCGATAAATCAAAGCTCTTGCTTGATGGTACAGGAGAAGTGTACATCTGCGGTATGTCGAAGGAATACGAGGTGCCCGACGATCCCGAAGAGATCGTGGGAGAGAGGGAATCGATCGCGATGCTGCATAAGATAGCGGGCACTGTGTCGTGTCATCTGAAAGAGGGGGAGGTGGACGTGGTGGCAGAGCAAGCTTGCTGTTTGCCGTGCACGGATGATGGATTGCCTGTGATTGGGGAGATTCCCGAGGTCAAGGGATGCTACATTGCGACTGGGCACAGCTGCTGGGGGATTCTGAATGGCCCTGCCACCGGAGCCTCGCTTGCCGAACTCATCTTAGAAGGTCACTCCACCACTGCTGATCTCAAACCTTTCAGTCCCTCCAGGTTTCTCCGCAGGCGCACCAGGCAAGGAGTCTAATTCCCTAACTAGAAATCAGTGCGAATTTGCTCAATTTGCCACTGTTTAGTGAAAAATAATAAGTAGCGGCGGTTGCAAATATTTGTCATTATAGTGACAAGGATTTAAAATCCAATGGCAACAATAGCGACTTCCCTTTTACATTCGTGTTAGCTTGCATGTACTCCAAACTCAAGTTAATAAAGTGAACTTGTGGACTTTTATATGCTGCTTTTCCTGCCTTTATCAATGTGTGATTTTGTTTATTACCGAGATAATCTGCGACAAGAGCCGTAACAAGTAGTAACTGAGTGAATCAACAGTGAGTCAAATTGAAAAGTATTAAGTAGAAAACTATCCTGCTACTGCGAATTTGAGCAATACTAAGTCTTCCTTGGATCCTGTTATCGAGTTTCTTTTTTGTTTTCAAAACCTTGAATCCAGCATATTGCAATAAACTCCCAAAGATTTAGTGTTTGAGTATTATCTGCTATAAATGACCTCATATATCATTGCTTAGAAAACCTTGTCGTCAACTGTTCAAACTCAAGCACAGTGTTTCCTTATTTATTGTTTACTCATGATATGCTCTTTTTTTTTTTACTGCTTAAAAACCTCCATTTGCCGGTCTCAGCGCTAATCTCATAATACTTGCCAGTGTCGAAATGCTGGTATAATGTCAACCAACTTAGCAATGAACATTCCATCCTTTTGCTGGTGATGCTTTGAATCAATTAATCTTCAGTGGTTATTATTCTTCAAATGTACTGCTAAAATTTACATCAAACACACTATTTTCAGAATGAAATTAGCTACTAGCCTCTAGACTTGGTTCAGATGCAGCACCCCTGTTTTTTTTAATACTGGTCAATTGCCTCTTTTGAAGGCCATTGAAACTCCCAGTTTTCTTAAACTGGGGCATCTATGGCAGAAAGTGAATGGGACTTTGTGGATGCGATAAATTTGGTCTACGTCATGTACCATAACTAGGAGGAACACTTCCAAGTGTAACGAGTAAAATTCCCAGGATTTTGTAGTTAGTCATTCAAACCCGTTATCTCAACTTGAAAAACATAAAATTGTGAACCTAATTTAACTTTTTGATCGTTGTCCAACTAGGATACTTGGTACTAGTGCATGCAATCCTGCATGATTGATTCCACTGCCACTTCAATTATGAGAGTTAGCATTTCAATACGATCATACATTTATGCTAGAAAGTTTGAAGTAGGAAGCATTTAGTGTGGCTCAGGTTTTTAGCTTCCAATTGAATTTAATGTGTGAAAGACTGAGACTTTCACTTAAGATGGTAATATGTAGTCAAGCTACTAAGCTCTAGAGAAAAATCAGAAAATTATAAGCTAATGAACTTGCTAGAGTAGTGTTGAAAGTAAGTTTCTGATTATATAGCAGAACATCATGGGAGATATTTGGTCATGAAGTCCAACAGGTTTTTACTCTCTTAAATGACATGTCAGCAACATTGTGGAATGAACCACAGTAACAGAGCTGCCGATGGCAAGAGGAACATCCTAATTAGATTCCCCAACATTATGAAGATGGAAGGTTATGCTTTGCACTACCGGTCGTTGAGGTTGCAGAAACTTATTGGGTGGACTCACATATATGGATCATTAGAAGATGAGGGCTTCAAAGCTTCTCAATGCGTAGCATCAATAACACTACCAGGAAATTAGCTTCAATAATCCTGTCTGGACTTGTTCTGGATATCTCTGTGGAAAAAAATTACTTGATTTAATGATCTGAAAGAGTGATAAATAAGTAGATATTCAGTCAGCATCACATGATGATGGCCTGTAGTTTTTGGGTCAGCCCTAGACATGTCAACTGTAGAAGGCCTAGCAGTGAATTCAGCATTTGCAAGACTGAATTGAATAGCTAGCTTATTTTAAAAATTGAGGCAATTTTATAAATCAGTTTAATTAAATAACTAGCTTATCAGTGATTCATCTGAAAGCCTTTTATTGTGTTTGCTGAGAATCATAAATTAGACACTGCAGTTATGATTGATCATCACCAATCAAAAGTATGATCTTGTAAAGGCAAAACTGGCTTCAAAACATGGAGATTGTACTTCTATGAAAAAATTGCTAATTTGACTCTGCCATCTGGTTTTGAGGTGCTTACAGAAGTTACATTACAGTTTGTGGCAATAAAATAGAGGAAATATGTGCATGGATTTCCTATATATCTCTTCTTGGTACAGATAGACCAGGGTTTATGGCATATACTTGATCATCTTCTACACAGTAAAAGATGCATCTGCTTTTCATTGTTCTTGTCCATATGTTAGTGATGGGAGTCTCAACCAAGGAAAGACATGAGGGTATAAATGTCATGAGCTACTTCTAGTTTTTACTAATGCATCCATCTCTGAATACACTGCTAAAGTATCAGATACACCATTTTTATGTTCTCAGGGTATGTCTTCAGCTAGTTTGCTGCTAGCGGCAACCAGCTGGATTATTAACATAGCTCAAATACACTGATCATATATGCAGTTGTCGAATGGCTGTAAACAGGAGAAGAGCACTTCAACAGCAGTCGGGCATAAGACCTTGTTCATGCTGCAGGTCACGGTAGACTGAGCCTTTAATCATGTGGCCCAAAACGTTGAAGCCTATATACATGTCATCACAAGGCCTCTCAAACTTCTGGAATGGAATTAATTGGGATACCACAGTCTTCCTCATTCAAAGGTTTGGCATCTTGTACTCGTCTATCATACATCTTATTCATGCCCAACTGGTGTGTATTTTTAATTGGCCATAACATGATCAATTTTGTGCATGTATCAAGCAGCAACAAGTAGTCTGATGTCTAGATTCATTGTCTATACAGTGATGAATTGGAAACTGGACAGAGAACAAAAAGGAAAATCTAATGAGTCAGAGAACCTGCAATGCTTCTATTAAGCTTCTGAGAATCACAATTATAAAGGTTTAGGGTTGACTTGTCGCGAGCAAGATAGCACATAAAATTGGCACAAATGAGAAATTTGCTGGGTTCTTTTTTTTTTTTTTTTGCTGCATTTGAAGTTGCTTGATCTCAAAGGGTCCTTTGAATTCTGAAAGAGTTGTTGTTGTTCACAGGATCAGCATGTGCTCGTCCTCTAATCAAGAGATTGAAGTCAATGGCTCAAGCAGCAGCTCGGGGTCCCAGAATCATGTTCTGCTATTAACCAATGCTTTCCTGTTTCTTAAGCCTGACCACATGCACATAACGTGGAAGTCGGCAGCTTGAGCCTGGTACTAACTATGTCTTCTTCATGTGAATGGATTCTAGCTAGATTTTCTCTCTTTGCTGATGCAGGGCATGTTCACTGTCCCCACCATGCACATGTTTCTTCCTTGGACACAACAATCTCTTTCCAAGAGCAGAGGATAAGGCTTAACTCTGTCTCTGTCTCTCTCTCTCTCTCTCTCTATATATATATATGTACATGTGTTTGTATATATATATATATATATATATATATATATATATCTCCATAATCCATACACATGTGGGTAGATTCTAGCTAGATTTTCTCTCTTTGGTGATACAGGGCATGTTCAATGTTCCACCATGCACAAACCTCCTCAAACACATGACAATTTCCCCACTAAGAGGAGAGGAAAACGCTTGACTCTCTCTCTCTCTCTGTCTCAGCCTCTTTCTCTCTCTCCATGCCAATCATGATCTACATAAATTTGAAGGGAACTCACATAGGACAGGCTCAAAATCCTGAGAACTCATTTGAAGATTCTTATGAAGATCTCAAGAAAAATGTAGCTTTGTTAATACATGATAGTCCATTTCTAAGCTTCTATCTCCCTATATTAGACATTTCTGATCTCTCTTTCTCTCTCTCTCTATCCAACTATATTTTTTGCTCTCTCCATCCACATAATTTTGAGGGAAGGCATGCACTACTCAAATATCACATTCATTGAAACTAACCAACCATTGATTGACATCAAAGTGAAGGAATAGCATATTAGCAATTATTAAGCTCTTCTGGCATTTGAGAATTTATTTAGTCTATGAATCAATCTATTAATGACAATCAAATTATACAAGTGCTACTATTCGCTTTCATCATTATGCATTCATTGTATGTGAGTTGTTTTAACGTGAAATTGCTTCATTTTAATTGATGAAACAATCATTTGGGTAGTACAAATCATCATTGTTGAAACAATCATTTGAGCAGTTGACTACCACTTGATCCATTTTGATAATTAATGTATTGGGTTACTTTTCTTTCAGGTTGGTGAAACTATAATTTCCTCAATATATCTTTAGATAATACTTGAGCACAAGGTTCATGGACAAGGAGACAAAGCTTTGAGTGATGCCAACTACAATGACCCACACTTGAAGACTTGGTTGGTCAAAGCATATGGTGGTCAACTTTCTTAAAATCTCCAACTGGGGTTTGAGATCAAAATTACTTTACCATATGGCCTCTCTGATCAGCTCAAGTAGGGAGTAGAATCATAGTTGAGATGGAAGTGAAGTTTGAAAATAATTATTTTTTGAGGAAAAAATATTTATGCATTCCCTTGAGACATTGAATTTTACTGTATATCCTTCTAAAACTAAAAATGTAATCATCTTATTTTTTTTGTTTCCTAACTGAAATAACATTATTTGCTTCCTAATATGGATTCTGCTATAAGGAATTTTATTTCAGCAATTAATCTGTATTTCCTGCCTTGAATAGTCAAATAAAGAATAACTTAATTATTTTTTCATTAAAATTTAAAAATTAAAATTAAATTAAAATTTCATACCTTATTAGAAATCCTTCCATATCATCTTTATAAACCGTCCGAATTGTTCCCTTTCCATCTATCTCGGTTTGAAGGATATTTGATTAAGAGGAAATTACCGGAGGTTAGTGCCATCAAAGGTTCTCCATCCTTCTTTTGATTCATGCTTTGAGATATTTTAATTGATATCTTAGTTGTTGATATTATATGAAATTATGTCATGCATGATATTTTCAACACGTATCAACACGGGGTCTCTCATTCTGATATTTTCAACACATATCTAAATATTTCGTTCAATGCATGCATGCATGCATGATAGAGTACTAATATGACGATTTCATTCGGAGATTAGAGAATTGTTAAATATGTAAATATTTTCACTGAAAAATATAATATGATATATATTCTTATAGGGGAATATAAAGTATCTTATGTTGTATATACATATCACATGATAGTTGCAAGTGTTTAAGCTACTGTATGGCATGAGATCGATGCATGATGAACTTATACATTGCATAAAAATCATGTTCTCAAGATAAATACAAATATAAGATATTGATCTTTTTTTGGAGAGAGAAAAAGACATCAGCTATTTAACATGAAACAATGGACTAATTAAGTGTTACTCTATCCAACTTGATAAAATACAATAATATAATCTTTTTGAAAGTGTCAGCTAAACTAGCTGATAAAATTTTAATATGGATTATTCGGATCTTAAGATTGAATCTCATCTTTGTTATTTAGTCTTTTCACAAACAAGAAAAGAAAAAAAGAAAGAAAGAAAACATTTTGCACTTGTAGTTAGGATCAGTGGATCACAGCAGGTCACCTGTGCTATATATACTACTACTACTACCTTGAAAGAGCTTTCCTTGTCACCATAGCATTTCTCTTTCTAGAGAGATAAATGACCTCAGATCTCATCTCAATAACTTTCTTTCTCCTGGTCCTGGCCACAACACTATTCTGAGACAGAGGTAGTACAAGGAACATATGCTGTGATCTCTTGCATGATGGACACACCTCCAAGTGACACTTTTCAGGATCTTTCTCTCACTCACCAAGTGGTATGAATTCCTCCTATGTCAATGTCATCACCACCTCATCATTGGACATCTTGATAAACCATCAATCCTTGTCATTCCATCTAAAAACTATAGTTAATAAATAAAATAAAATATTTAATTCATATTCTCTGTTGGAAATAATAATAATAATAATAATAATAATATGATTTTAAAATAATTTTATAACTAGGAAAATATTCACAATATATAATCTTAATTAGAAAAAAATATTCATAATATATATATAGTAAGAGAGTTGAATTCTATATTTCTACCCAGTCAAAGAATTAAAAAATAAATACATACATAGATAATATTTTAATATAATTTTTAGGATAAAAGAGAGAGGAAGGATAGAAAGAAATAAAAGATGGAAAGAATGAGATGAAATATATTATAATTGATTCAAATCTTTTATTTTGATTAATATTTAACACATGACTCGTTCATCCACTCATCAAACCCGTCCTTTTGAGCTCGTGATGAGACCCTATTTCCTCTTTCCACTCATCGGACTTCCTCTCTTCATTCATTCATCCGAACACTTGTCTTCTTCCATCATCTATCTTATCCTTTAGGATCAAACTATTTCTACCTTCTTAACTCAACTGTGCAAAAACGATTGATGTTGATGTTATGATATCTAACCTCTTTTAAATAACAAACATTCTCAAATTTTTTTATCAATTAAATTAATTAACACTTTAATGAGATTTTAAATCATCAATCTTTAAAAAGAATATCTAATATATCATCGTCATCAGACTAATTAATGTTTTAGCATACGAAACCAACTTAATTTTATAATAAGTCAAACTATGAATAATTATGAAAAAAATTATAAGTCAAACTTTAAAATATTTTTAATTCAATCTTCACCTCATAAGATATTTCTATTTACGTTTGTGTAGATTAACCGCCTTTCTTATTTTATCTAACTCTATCTAATTTAATAATCTTACATCATATTAATATATTAATATGATGAGTTTGATTAAACTAATCATTACTTATCAGAGACGGAGTTTTGTCTCTCAATACTTTATAACTTAATCTTATCCAACCTTAATCAACAAAGTTTATTCAAATATTATAATCATAATCTAATTCAAAGTTGTGTTGACAACCAAACTTTTATGGGGAGCCATCTACTACTTGATCAGTATTTTTAATTATTATTGATGATAACGATATGATGAAGAAGATGATGGTGATATTATGAGACTCGTAATTAAGGAAGGCATTCTTAAACAAAGGATAAAGAATAATTTTTTAATATATCATAATATTTATATAATATACATTCCTTGAAATATTAGGATTCTTTGCATGTGTCACTATTGTTAACATTCATAAAAATAATTATTTCTAAGTATGATAAATATCATTTTGTAGAAATATATACATTATTAATGAGAACCTTTTAATAAAATAATTTACATATATATCCTTGCAAAATATTTTTTTACACATATATATTATGGAATTTCATCAAACAATCAACTCAAAAAAAACCATGGAGACTAATTTAGGTTGATAGGAATATGTACAGTAAACTTAAATTCTAAAGGAATATATGTGAAAAATCTCTTGTGTATTTTAGCATATATTGGTTTATTAAACATTTATATGTATAGACTTCAACAGTTAATTTGTGTGTATGCCCTCAGTGTATAATATATTTGTCCATGTATTCTTTAATCCATTTCCCCTTCTCAACTATTACTTTTTCTATTGTCATTTCATATATTCTTTTAATCAAACATATTTAGGATTGAGAGTGTTAGATTGAGTAATGAGGGACTTCTAAATTACTTGTTAAATCTTTTATATCAAATCTGATATTTCATTGATACATCAGATCTATATATCAAATGTTAATAGTTTGAAATATCATCTGATTATTATTTTCAGAGTATCAATTAACTTAGATAACTGTTAAAAAGTACATAATTTCCTTCTCATGTTGATGATATCCATCGGAATAGGAAGTTGGGAATCTCAATCATTAAATTGGATCATAATTATTTTGTCTTAAAGTACTTTAGTCAAAAGAAAAACCTTGTATTTAGCTGGAGATAAGTTGATACTCAATAGTGAAATCAATCATGAAGGAAGCTTCATTCACATTGACTATGTTATCAAAGATAGAAATCCAAACTTCAACTTGGGTGAGCTATACATGCAAATCAAATCAAAACCTTGTGTTTTTTGAGTTGGAATTCAAAAAAGAGTGTCTTTTCTTGCTCATCCTTAACGTCCTCATATTGTTTTAAGATACAATGTTTAAGATCTCATCATTAAGCTTATCCAAAGTGTGGTTTTTCCCTGATAATGATGCTACTAACTTGGAATGTGGTGTTTAGATGGAGAAACTAAACATATTGTATATTAAAATATGAAAAAGACCTCTCAAGTTGTTGTTCCTTTATTGCATACAAATCCTATTAGTCTTGTGTTATTTCATATGTAACTTTGTTGTATTTTCATACAAGAAATTATTCATTTAGGATCAAAAAATATTATTATTATTATTGTAAAAATTATTATCATCAACCACATTTTTTCATGCACAAAAATTAAGAATGAGAATATGTGTATTTTGACAATATACATGAACTTTAAAGGTGGAGGGGTGTATATGTCAATATGATTTCTCCAGGGATTTGTACTTGAATTGATGAATAAATATTGAGAGTTGGGGGACATATGTGCAAAAGTCCATCAAGCTTAAGTGAAAAGGAAGCGTAAAGGAAGAAGCTTTCTAGTGTCTTGTCATCGTCCCCTGAATCCTCCACGCCCCCTTGTCGACTGAGGCTGGAAAACCCCCCCAGAAGAGGTTCTTGACGCTTCCGGCAACGGCAGCAGTGGCGGAGTCACTCGATCTTTTGTGTTCGCTGCAGTGGTGGTGGACAATCTTGGCCGTCCAAATGGGTAAAGGTACAGTTTTTATCAGTTATTGCGGAGTTTCACGTTTAATCCCCAAGCTTTTCGAGATCAGAGAAACTGGAAGACGGTTTGCTTTGACCGCCACAATCTGGAGTTGCTCTCTGCTGTGTCAGATGCTTCCTTTTTTCCGCTCTTTGTTCTTCGGATTGCCAGCGAATCTTGTTTTGTTTAGGTTTTATTTGCTTTGGAAGAGGTTTGGCGGTAGATCGGTTGATATTTCTTTTCTGGGAATTGAATTAATTGGGGATTTTTAGCCAAGATAAGTTACACTTTGTTTCTCCCCAATTCTTCGTTCTATCTCATTTGCTTCTCCAGATTAGTGGAAGGTGTTACAGAGAAACGCTCTGCTGGGTGCTTAATCTGAAAAAAAAGGCAGTTTTGAAATGACTAAGTGTCTGAATTTGGAGCAATTAACCAAGTGCCAGATTAGAAAGCATATTAATTAATTTGTACGTGTGGCTTCTTTTCGGTGACAGAGATGCTGTGGCTGGCGGTCAAAATAGATATTTTCACTATCTTTGTGTCTCTTTTGGATCTCTTCTTTGTTGGATTGATTGATAATTGTGGGAGTACTCTTGATTACTTCTTTAGCCAGTTTTCAGATAGCTAAGCTTTCAGATTTGGAGGAACTTGTTATTTTCTCTAATTATATTAGTTCTCTTCAATTCTTGTATGTCTATTCATTTAACCGTGAGGTCACTGATCTTATTGCAGGTGAAGTGGACTAGGGTACCAAGCTCTGGCAATACCGTCACCTAAAGTGATATCGGAGGCTACCTGAGGGATGTGCATTAGTACTCTTGTTTCATTCTCATAGAAATTTTCTGGATGAGCTTGTAGAAGAATTCTGCCTGCAATCTTCCTTGGTCAATTTCAACATTAATTAAAAGTCAGTGTCCAGCCTGTCTTGGTTTCAGGAATGCTATCATTGGCTGCTGCCGAAAAGGGCTGAGTTCACAATAACTTGAACAACAGAGTCTGTTTGCCAAGATTTTTTGTGTGTTTTCTAGTCAGTTGTACCGCACACAATATTTTCTGAAGAAGCTATTCTCAACAATGGAGTCTTTGGCATCCAGAGTAGTGGCTCATCTTTTCCCTTCACTTGGTCCTGCACTCGTCATTTCTATGGGATATATAGACCTTGGAAAGTGGCTGGCAACTGTGGATGGTGGGGCTCGATTTGGAAATGATCTGGTGCTGTTAGTTCTGTTTTTCAACTTAACTGCCATTCTTTGCCAGTACCTTGCATCATGTGTTGGCATTGTCTCTGGAAAGAATCTCGCACAGGTACTACATTCCAATTTGTTTGCTTCAATATTTAGTTTTATTCCCGACACCTGTTTTTTTGCAAACATATAAAAAGCTTGCGTCTTTAGTTCTTTATACTTCTATTTGTGAGAAGCTTATGCAGAAAAGAAGACTTTGAAAACTCGATATTTATACTCACAGAATGTATAGTAAAAAGAAGCAACAATAAACTAGAAGTGAATGCTTGACTTATAGTTTGTTCAACATGTGATTGTATCTGTAGCAATCATATTCTGGATAAATACCTTCGAGTGTTATCAACCGTTTCTGATATGGTACACCTGAGTTGATCTATATTGGTCAAAATTTGCGATTACCACATCCTCAAAGGAGCAATGAGAAGGGTGGAGGGAAGGAGAGAGAACTTTGAGATAGATAAAAGATTAATAAATAGGTAATTGTGATTGTGAAACAGAGCTGAAGAAACTGTTGCTGTTTTCTTCTTGTTGCAAGCATTGCATTTGTCATCTACCACCATTCCTTCCTCTATTTTGTAAGATAGAGGAAGGAAAGTGAAGGACAGAGTAGTTCCTAATGTCTCAAGGAAACATGGATGCTATCATAGAGAATGTGATGCGATAGGATTTAGAATGAGGCTTAAATTTTAATAACTAATTGTTTTGTGTTACAATGTCTTTCACTAGCATGGTGTTCGGAGAAGCATTAAGGAATGAGGTTTTTCGTTAGCTTCAAAGCTTTAGTTTGAAACGTTTTGGATATCTTGTATGAGATAAAATTATTATATGATATAATAATATCTTTGTACAATATTATTATAATTTATTTATAATTAAACATATGGAACTCAATTTTTAACAGACTTATTTTATACAATTATTTATCTTATATATTTTAGTTTCATATGTTTTGGAGACAGTTGCTTGTTTATGATATAGGTAGCTAGGGTCCAAGTCACAAAGACAACATCTCTCTTTGTAGGGGTACTATTGATACTAAATGTATTATCCCTAGTCGATCCTAATAATGGTATCAATTAAAAAAATAAATATTTACAAAGATAGTGGACTACAACATCAATTAAAAAACTATATTTACGTAAGGAATTCTTTTTGGTTCATGCACATTCATAAGTTAAAATATTTTATTTCTTCAAAGGTTTCTACTTTCTAACACCTTGCAAGTTAACTAACTGCTGTTTCTGTATGTCTTAGTTGGAAGCAAAGGCTTAACACAACTTTATTTTACTGGATTTTTTTTTCTCACTGAATTTTTTTATGGAGTATCCTTTTACTCATTAGATTCACTAATTCATTTTGTTGGTTGTGCACAAGATTTGCAGCATGGAATATTCAAGAACAGCGTGCATGATATTGGGAGTTCAGTCTCAGTTATCCATGATTACTTCAGACCTGACTATGGTACTTATGATTTTCATCTATAAGAGTGATTATGTGCCTGCTTTCTTTCTTTATTACTAATTTCTTTTCCGATAAGTGTAAGACTGCAGTATTGTTACCTTGTACCATGAATGGGAGCGTCTTAATTGACATACTGATTTGGAATTTTCCAGATTCTGGGAGTGGCATATGGTTTCAATCTTCTGTTTGGTGTTGACTTAGTGGCATCTATCTGTTTTGCTGCAGCTACTTCTGTTTTGTTCCCCCCTTTTGTTGATCTCTTGGTAATTTTTTGACTTTCAAATTTTTTGTTATTGATCTTACAGTTGAAAATGAATAGATAAGCTTTAATGCTTTCCAATTTTGCTTGAGGTGCAGAACAATTGGAAGCCTGAAGCATCACATGAAAGCATAGCTGGATTTGCTTTCCTCTTATATGTGCTTGGAGTTCTAATCAGTCAACCAGAAATTCCTCTTACAACAAATGTTATTTTCCCAAAGTTGAATGGAGAGAGTGCGTACTCACTTATGGCTCTTCTTGGTGCTAATATAATGGCACATAATTTCTATATCCACTCTTCAATAGTTCAGGTAAAGTTGACTACAAGTCTGATTTGCTTTTTCTGATATCTTCATCATGAGCTCACTAAAGTTTATAGCCTTTTCCCCTTGTTGGTGGTTAAAAATTAGTGCTAAAAGCCTAAAACCTGTAGTTTTGAATAAATTAAGAAATGCACAATCTTCTGCTACTCATTTATACTCCTTGATTTGATATACATTTGGAATCCATTTCAGTTGCCTAAAGCATATTATGCCAGAAGACAATCTCAATCATGCAAGTCCATAAAAGGCTAGTCAAAGTTAAAAATTCTGATTATAGAGAAGGGATCAATTGGCCATGGTGTATTTTGAGACTTGTATTATTAGTTTCATGTTCTAATCTGAACTTGCTAAAACAAGTACAGTGTTGGGAAGTAAAATTTTTCCCAACTAATACAAGAATAAAAAGCTAGTGTTGACTAAACATTAATTTTTTAAACCAAAATTTGCACTTCTCTCTGCCATAATCCTTGTCTGGTACATAAATTAGGAAATGACCTTTCGTGTAACTAGTCCTTTCGAGTTAGTATTTTTAAACCATTATTCTGGAATATTTGTAGTTATTTTATCCTTCATTTCTTGCATTTAAAATTCATTGTTCCTTTGGCACATCCAGTTGACATTTTTTCTATAAATTATGTATATATGGCAGAAATTTCGTCATTTTATAATTCCGGATCAAAGCTGCTGCTATGAATTTTTTTGTAAAGCTTGGTTGGATTAAAAATTTCTAGCCCCAAATTATTATTTATTTTGGTTTTGATTCTTCATATATAACATTTCCTGCTTTGTTCTCTGAGTATTTTGACTTAGGTTTTTTATAAATTGTATAATTGTTTATCTATGTGCAGAAGCAGAAGAGACTCCTGAATGTTCCTGTAGGTGCCTTACTTCATGACCATTTTTTTGCAATTCTGTTCATCTTCACTGGAATATCTCTGGTAAACTATGTGCTGATGAACTCAGCTGGTGCTGTTTTTGGAAGTACAGATATTGAACTCAACTTCCAAGATATATCACTGATGATGGATCAGGTTATATGTCTTCTTTTCTTAAGCTTCTTTCTTCATTTGGATTATCTTTTTCACTGTGGAATGTTTTTCTTCTTAAGTAGGCCCCACATATCCTCTGATTTTATAAACTCCTAGTTTCCGTCGAATTAATTAGTGTGTCATTAAGTGATAGCAACATAAAAAATCTAATGGAAAAATCTGATGCATGTTTTAAGACGAACTGTTTCTTTATTTGGCATTTGTTCATTATGCAAATAATAGACTTCAAAACCTAGGTGATATAAAAATAAGAAACAATTATTTGACATGCAGAGTCCCTAGAAAAGAGGACCTAATGCTTGAGGTAAATGTGATGAAGGTATCCTCCCAAGTTGATGATTCAGGAGGCTGAAATAGATGATAAATTGATGAAGTAGTTGGCCTTAATTAAAATAGACAAATTAGTGGCCAAACCATGGTATTTTTAGTTTGAATCATCCGTAGTTGGAGCGACCTGGTAAAGTTCTGAGAGCATAGTGACTAATCTGTGATCTGACGATGGTTTTGCAACAAGTTCTTTGGGATGATGTTGTGAATTAACAAGTTCCGAGCAAAACAATCTCTAGTCTGAATCTAAATTAAGAATTTAATTTTGGATCTTTCTTTCTTCACAAAGAATTCAGTTCTTTTTTATCAGCTGGAGATGGATGGTTGATGATGCTTACAACCTGCAATAGCTATAGGGAATCTGGATTAATGCATTAATGCATCAATTGCATATAACCTATTACATCACCTTAAATCACAGTGCTCAACTAAAGGATTCAGATGTCATCATTTAAACTTATTCGGCTATTTTTTGCTTTTAATAAAACAGTTCTTAAAATTCTGAAGACCAAAAGCTTTCTTTATACTTTGCTTGTCTAAGCATTAGCCCACAGAGTAGCTACCCTTTTTGTCTGGAAGGTTTGGTGATGAAATTTCTACAACTACATAAGCCTTAAGAATTAAATTCTTTTGCTGCTATATTGTTTAATATATATTAATTGACTTATTTGCAGGTTGGCTTTTGCCTAACAAATTTCATAGTTTTCACAAACAATCATTTGAAATGCTTTAGCAAATAGATCTTCTTCATTTCTCCAGAGAAAGAATCTTGTTCTACATATTATGCTGTTTATCATGGGACTAATCTTTGGCTACTTAACAGAGCATGTTTTCTTGTATGTTCGTATGTGAGTCCTTTGTCAGAATAAGAACATTGAAAACTTGATGCTATCATTCATTGACAGAATTGTGATTTCTACATACTTGTAATTTGCAGATTTTTAGGATTCCTGCAGCACCTATTGCGATTTTCGTTGTCCTTCTTTTCTCTAGTCAGATTACAGCTTTAACTTGGACTATCAACGGGCAAGAAATATTGCAGTACCTCTTGGGTGCAAACATCTCCATTTGGGTTTATGTTCTGTTAGTTAAAGCTCTCTCTGTCATACCAGCACTTTTCTGTGCAAAGTATGCAGGCACTGAAGGGATATATCAATTGCTTATTTTGTGTCAAGTTGTACAGGCTATGTTTCTTCCTTCTTCTGTAATTCCTCTTTTCAGAGTATCATCATCAAGATCAATAATGGGGACATTCAAAATGTCATGGTATCTGGAAATCATGGCTTTGTTGGCATTTCTTGGGATACTGGCTTCAAATGTAATCTTCACTATTGAAATGTTATTTGGAAATAGAAGTTGGATAAATGACCTTGGGGGAAGTATGAGTGGTGGTGGAATAGTCACATATGCTGCCCTTCTTCTTGTTGCTTGTGTGTCAGTGGTTTTTACGCTGTATTTGACAGTTACACCACTGAAGTCTGCAAGTGACATACCAGAGACAGAAATAGGAACCTTGGATTTGCAGAATGACAAGCTTGAGCTATCTGAGGTAGGAGATGATGACATTCAAGATAAAATTGAAACCAATGAAGATCAGTTTTTAATGGAACCTGCTTTGGAGGGTACCGTGGAGCAACATAACGATGAACCACCCAACCAATTTGATACAGCTATTGACTCTGATCATGGTTGCCATCAACATGCTCATGGTTCTGCTGCTTCTGTTACAGCTATTGATTCTGATCACGATCACCATCAACCTGTGCATGGTTTCAATGCTGATGATGCCTTTGTCAACTCAATTTGTCAAACTGAAGAACCAAAGTTTATTAATAAAGTTGACTTAGAAACTGTGGACAAGGCATCATCCTCTGCTAGCTTGTTAGATCTTGGTAATTTAGAAAGACATGAGTTTGATCTAATGCAAAAAGATTTGACCTTGGAAGCAGATAATTCCAAAGATAAAGATAATGAAGAGATTTTGGAGCCTAAGGAGTCCGTGGGCGAACCATTGTCATCTTCAACATCTATGGATTCTGGATCGTCTAATATCGTTATGGTGGAAGTTTCTGATGTTGGAATTGGGAGTGGAAGCTTATCAAAGCTGTCTGGACTAGGACGTGCGGCTCGTCGACAGATGGCAGCTGTTTTGGATGAGTTCTGGGGACAGCTTTTTGATTTCCACGGGAAGCCAACGCAAGAAGCTAGTGGACAAAAGTATGATATTTTATTGGGGTTAGGCTTGAAGACTGTTAGTTCCGCAAAAGTGGATGTGGGAACAGAGGCCACCAATTTCTGTACAGATGCTGACAGGAGAACAATTGTTCCACCGAACTCGATAGATTATGGCTCTTCCAAGCTGAAGAATTTTAGTGGAGAGTTGTCTTATGGGTTTCAGGTAGGGTCCCCATCTCGGTCTCGAAACATGCAAGTATTCAATACACCTGCACAAAGCTTATCTAGCAGCCTGCTTGATTCAAATGAAAGACATTATTCTAGCTTATTCCTGCCACAGTATTCTGACAATCATGATTATCAGCCAGCAACAGTACATGGATACCAGATAGCATCTTATCTTAGAGGAATTGGTGCAGGGAGCATTCCTTCTCCATCAAATGTGTCGTTGGAATCTCCTACAATTTCTAAATCATCTGCAAGATTTCCCCCAGGTTTTGGGGATACTGTTCTGTATGGTGATAAGCAAAATGGACTAGGTTCACTTGCAACATCTAGTATGCAGAGTCCAACATCACCTCGAGTTAGCAGAGTGCAGGTAGAAGGACCATGCTTCAACCCTTCTTTAATTGCACCTAGGGAAAATACTGGCTCTTCTGCTTATACAAAGAAATATCATAGTTCACCAGACATTTCTGCGCTTATTGCTGCTAGCCGGAATTCCTTATTGAACGAGGCAAAGTTGGGTGGTCCTGTTGGTCCTAGGTCATCTTTGGGTAGGATGACATCTGAACAACATCATTATTTAAACCCTACCTCCAATAGTGGAGTTCCATTAGGTTTTGATGAATTCTATCCACCCAAACTCCGGAGGGATGTTTTCGCACACCAGTCGAATCTGAACCCAGACACCAGATCCCTTTGGTCTAGACAACCATTTGAACAACTATTTGGTGTTCAAAGCAGAGAACAAATTAGAGGGGATCAAGTGGTTACTAACAAACGGAGCAGTGATTCCCGAGATATTTTCTCTTATGCAGAGTCGGAGCACAAGTTATTACAATCCCTTCGGTTTTGTATTATGAGGCTCCTGAAACTGGAGGGGTCAGATTGGCTGTTTAGACACAATGGTGGATGTGATGAGGAACTAATTTATCAAGTTGCAACAACTGAGACGAATCTTCACAAGGCAGATGCCGATGAAATGACTCAGTTGCACACTGGAAAGCTTCAGCACATGTTGTCTGTGCAAAAGCTAAGTTCAGTTCAGAGGAATGGGGAAGCAGATGCCCCTTACGCTCTGTCCTTGCCGAATTGTGGGGATGGCTGTATATGGCGAGCATCCCTGGTTGTAAGTTTTGGAGTGTGGTGTGTTCATCGAATCTTAGAGCTCTCCCTTTTGGAAAGTCGGCCAGAGCTATGGGGCAAGTACACATATGTCCTTAACCGCCTTCAGGTAAAATATCAACATCATTATCTATGGAGTGTTTCTTATCATGAATAATTGCAGGAATAAACTGTGTAGTATTAATTCCAAAAGGTAACAAATTTTGTTAACTGTAATCTCCTCTGACACTATGCTGTTGGTACTTGATGATCTCCTCTGATTCTATTTTGCTGCTACTTGAGGTGGCCGGGTATAAAACGAAGTTTTTTAGAATAGAAATTTTCAAGGAGCAATGTGTTCTTAGTTGAGCCTATGGTAATTCTTTCATTCATAGTAAAATTTAGTAGAGGCGGCTTCCTTTGTCTTAAATCATCCACAAACATTTCAAGAATCATGCACTGATTTTTTTTCTGGTGTTTTCTTTTTTCTTGGCAATCTCTTGATGATCATTACTTTTTGTTATTCGATACAGGGAATTCTTGATATTGCATTCTCCAAACCCCGGGATCCCCTCAGTACCTGCTCGTGCCTCAAATTACTTCCAGAAGCTAAGGGTTCCAACCACTCACTGCTAAGTCAACAGCCAAAACCCATGAAGGAGGCCTTCACGACCTCAAGTATGATACTTGAGATCATTAAAGATGTCGAAATTGCAGTTTCTGGCCGTAAGGGCCGGTCAGGCACTGCAGCAGGAGATGTTGCATTCCCAAAGGGGAAGGAGAATTTGGCATCTGTATTGAAGCGTTATAAGCGTTGGCTCACGAACAAGTCTACCAGAACACACGAAGGTTCTTCGACCCGCAAGATCCATGTGACTTCTTCGGTTTTGTAACATTTAGAACGATGCTTTTGATGTGTCGTGAATCAATCATGGTTTTTTCGTTGGAAAACGTTTTCAGGGTTCAGAGTTTGTTATTCTTTGTCCCTCCAAGTTTCTCTTCCAGTCAATGTTGTATAGAAGTACAGATCATTATGCATATAGATGCTAGGAGGTTACTGTATTTTCAAGATGTGTGTCCCAAATTTTCCATTTTAATTTCTTGTTGGCCATAATTAAGTTGGAGGATTATATTGGCTGCTCGTGGGAAGGTAATGAAATTTTGATTTCTTTGGTCATATCAGCCATCATAGTATTGCAATCTCTTGGAGACAATGATCCACCTCTCAGTCTTCTGAGACTTAGAACATGATATAGCAGCAATACATGCTATGTGGCTGAATGTTTCTAGCTATTAATTAGAATTTGTACATTTCTCATGACATATTGCCTAATTTTGTGTATTAGAAAAAAGACTATTGTGAAAAAAAATAAATTAATAAATATTTTTCTTGTGAGTTCCATTAATTTTTATTATTTTAAAATGATATGTTTTCAAATATAATAAGAAAGAATTTGGTGATATTAGATTTATAGATGAGAATAATCATTTAGAGAGAAAAAAAATATTATTTCTAAGATAATGTTTTATAGGAAATCCATTCATTTAATTCATATCTTGAAATTTTTTTTTTGATAATTTAGAGAGAAAAGTTGGGGCTTTTTTTTTTTTGCATTCGTTTTGATGTATAAATATGATATATTCAATAATTTTACAGGAATATATATACCAAAATTTCTTTTTTTTCTTTTTCTTTTATTTTCAGGTGGAAAAACATCCCTCCCTGCTAAATATACATATATTTCAGGACCGATTGGAACAGAAACCCCACAACTCATCATCACCGTTCATCATGGATCTCACACGAAATTTAAGGCTACAGGAGCTGATCATTGACGTCAACCAACGTCAAAAGCGCCGGGAGCCTGGTGAAGCGGGGAACGAACAGCTTAGATTTAATATACTAGATCCGACGGTATTCATCTTCCCACGTATGACTTCCTATTCCGTTTATAAGGCCGCCTCCCCTTGCGCCACCTCTGCCGTCGCTGCCAAAACCCTAGCCCTTCGACGAGCGGAGAGATTCTTCGGAGAAATGGGTGAGTTCTCTCTCTCCATTCTTCATCGGTATCAACCCTTCGTCATCTCGGCGTCGCCGCTTGTCGTTCGTTGCCTCGATCGATTCGATCTCATTTTGTTGTTTCTTCGATTGTTTTGCGATTCTTATTTTGTTCGTCAAAGATTCTTTGAGTCGTTGCTTCATTGGGATGGCTTGTGGTTGAATTTTTATCAGGGGCCTACAAGTATGTGTCGGAGCTGTGGAGGAAGAAGCAGTCGGATGTGATGCGGTTTCTGCAGCGTGTGAGGTGCTGGGAGTATCGCCAGCTTCCGTCGATCGTCCGTGTCACCAGGCCGACGCGCCCCGACAAGGCTCGACGCCTTGGTTACAAGGCCAAACAGGTATAGGATCGCACAAAATAAAAAAAAAAAGCTTGCTTTTTTGTTTGATTTCCTAGAAATTTTAGCACGCAGAGTAAAAATGTGATTCGTCTCTCTTTGAATAATTGAAGTGATTAAAATAAATATTTTGCTGGTTGTTATTTGCATCTTGATTTTCTAGTTAGTAAGGTATGGTAAATTTAAGACATATTCCTGTTTTCCAAATTCATGGTATGTTCGTTTAATTTATATTTTTACTGTTTGTTGAAGGGAACAAATCAAAACAACGGATTTACCTTTTTGGCTGGAATGCCGCCATTTCTTGGTTAGCATTTAGCTTGCATAGTTTGTCTTGAGGACATTGATGCAGTGCTTGAATTAAATGCTATTTATGGTTTTTATTAAATTAATTTGGTGTGAAATTGTTATATCATGCGATATAGACTAGTTTCATTCAGCTTTATCTTGAAGTCATTTTTGGTCACTTTCGGATGAGCGTCCAACCTTTTAGTAGCAAAAGTTGGGATATCATAATAAAAGATGGTGCTGAATTCAGTTGGTTCAGAAAGCAGCCTGATTATAGGGCAGTGCCCTAGGGAGGCTTCTAATGTGCTAGTTTGTGTTCGTTGGATGGATCATTGTCTTTTATAGATACATGACTTATAGAATTAGGTGTAGGTATATAGGGTGTGATAGAGGAGGTTGCTTTGGGTGGTACAAAGTGCCAGGAGGAATTTCTAGGTTTTCAACTGACAGTTGAGATTGATGATGGTAAGCATGGATACACATAAAGTGACTATGCTGGAGAATGCAACTGCCAACAATAATTCGAAAGGTTCTTTAAAGACTGACATTAAGTTATTTGGACTGGTTCATTGGGATGTAGGTCATTTGATGAGCATCTAGAATTTCTACTTTTGTTGATGACTGTGATTGATAAGGACTTGTGCAACAATAGCATGCGATGTCCTTATGAAGAGTTAAAAGGGATGCAACATGACTTTGATGTGCATCTTCAAATTTAAGCTGTTCTTTCCTTATTTTACATTGTATCTCATAACATGCAGGGTTTTGTGATTTATCGTGTTCGAGTTAGACGTGGTGGCAGAAAGAGACCGGTGCCTAAAGGTATTGTCTATGGGAAGCCAAAGCATCAGGGTATCACCCAGCTGAAATTTCAAAGAAATAAGAGGTCAGTTGCTGAGGAGAGAGCTGGACGTAAGTTGGGAGGGCTGAGGGTGCTAAACTCTTACTGGGTGAATGAGGTTAGAATAATCATCAATGGCAAAGTCAATTTAACCTTGATTTATTTTTCCCCTGTATAAGTATCATCTACACATATTCTCAATTTTCTGGATTTTGATGATGCACTAAATACCATTGCTTTTGTATTTCACAGGATTCAACTTACAAGTATTATGAGATCATCCTTATTGATCCGGCTCACAGTGCGATTAGGAATGACCCCAGGATCAACTGGATCTGCAAGGGTGTCCACAAGCATCGGGAGCTTCGTGGACTCACTTCTGCTGGTAAGAAATATCGTGGCCTTCGTGGTAAAGGCCACCTCCATCACAAGGCCAGACCCTCCCGCAGGGCAACCTGGAAGAGGAACCAGACCTTGTCCCTCCGCCGATATCGTTAGGCTACCTTCATTGACCAGTTTTGTCTGTGACTTTATTCGGTTGGAACAAGGTAGTTCAGTTATCAACTTGTGGTGTCTGTTCCAAGATACTGTTCACTTGGGAAATTATCTCTGCTCTTCCTTTAGATTTATGTACCTCAGTGATAAACTAGTTTTGTTTCTGCTGAGGCATTGCCTTCTCCTTTGCTATGATTTCACCTTTTGAGAAAGTTCAGTTGTCTTCCTCCATCTACCTTTTTTTGTGTTTTATTTGAAAATGTGTCAGTTATTTTTTCCCTAGAGCTTTTACATGTTCAGGATGGTGATTCTTGGAGTGTACTCGCACAGATGATTAAATGCTTAATGTTGCCAGAGGGACCATAAAGCTCTGAAGGCTCTGTATGCCAACTATGATCACCACTTGTGTTCCTTTTCTGTGATCGATAATAGTAATCTTGTTAATGATGATCATAACCCAAGAAATACACCAGAGGCTGAAGACATCACAGACGCAGTGAAAGCCCACTGGATCTTCATTTCATTGTGTGCACTTTGTATATCTTGTGGCAGGGCATTATGCAACCTTAGTGTTGAAATATGTACTACTTTTTTTTAGGTGACCTCCATTTTTTTCGATTTAGGAAACTCAAGATCCATGTTGGTTGTGTTTATGGATTTAAGATTCACAATAATACATGTTTTTTCGTGATGATAAAGCTGGTTTCGTCTGTGAATAGATTTCGTCTAATCTGATCCACGCTATGCTTTCTCTCAAATTCCAATTGGAACAGTTATGTTGCTGCATCCCTATCCATTTAATCCAACAACAAGGCCATGGCTGATCTGCTCGAGCAGCTGCCGATGGATACAGATCTCTCTCAGCATCCCAATGTGCAATTCCTTCAGCGAGAGATTCATTCCCAAAGGAAAAGAATAAATGGGATTCGGATGGCTGCAAACGTTCTAGTTGTGTAGATTCGACAACGTTGTTGTCGTCGAACACTAGGATGATTCATTCAAGTCAACGCACGCGGTGAAGGCTTGGAATTGTCAACGTGCGTAAAGAACAGTGCAAGACGCCCATAGAATCTTTCCTTCAGTTCCTTCACTTCCTCCCTCCTTCCACATCACTCTTCCGGCAGGGTAGCGTCGGCCAGAGGCCATAGGAGGTTGGCGGCAGCGAACCTGGCGAGCTTCTTCGAGGACGTGGAGGCGATCATGGCCGAGTTGCGGAGGTGGAGCGCCTCCTCCGGAGCCTGCACGGGTCGAACGAGGCTGAAGCAGCAGCCCGGCGGCGTCCGCGTCCAGTCGTCACTCCGCCCCGTCCTTCTCTTCCTTGCTGTGTTGTAACGAAGAGAAAGATCGGTGCGTCTGAAACTATGCTTTTTTTTTCTTGCTTTTATTTTTCTGTGTAAATAAAAAGGAAAAAAAATCTTTTATATATATATATATATTTGTTGGATTATATTGCATAAAAGAATAGTATTAACGTTCAGAGTTGTGTTCTTGATAAGAAAGTATATTGGCATTTCTCGAGGCCATGGTTGAACGTTCAAAGGTCTATATGCTGTCGTTCTTCCATCTCTTAGCCGAGTCATGATGTTAACTTTGTCCAAGGGAGGCTGCTGCCCACAGCCTTCGCCTTTGATTTCTGGATAAGCAGTAGAGACTTGCTCAGTCCACGGTCAAACCTCCTCCATCTTTCATTAGACTTCACTTCTTGTTATAAGCTAAGAAGAAGAATGGGTCAAAGCATTGTGATATTATCTGAAGGTCTTTGTCCATTTAGTATTAGATATCACCAACTTGAAGGGTGTCATTGTCAACAAAATAAACAATCATATTTGGGAAGATGCATCCACCGGACAATGTCGCTATCTCCATAGACTTGCATATTCCATCCAACCAAATAGTCGAGAGATATTATTGACACATATTTTGCAGGATTTTTACCCTACTTGTGTCACGTAATTGACTTTTAATTCGACAAATTCTAAGAAGAACGAGTAGGATATATGAAAAAAAGGAATTATTATTATTATTATTATTATTATTATTTTCTCTACGTCGATCTACCAAAAAAAAAAGGAACTCTGAATGTTGGAAATGATGATTTATATCTTTACTTGTAAGAAAAGAAATCATATAAATACATGCATGATAACATGATGCATATCTTAATACTTGGACAACTGTACTTGAGCCGGTATTATGTGGTTCAACGATTTAAGTCAAGAATGATGGCGGAAGCAACCGACGTGGCTTCTAGTAAGTAATATTAGGAGTTGGCATTGGCAATAAAGACAAAAACGCGGCTTGAAGACGACTCCGACTCGGTTGACGTTTCCACCACCTCCCGGCCGTTCTCTTCCTCCCTTCCTCGACTGCTTTCCTTCCTTCCTTCCTTCCTTTCTTTCCTTTTTCTTTTTCTATATCTTCTCTTCCGTTTGGCCACCGAGACGAAGAAAACGAGGAGGAGCACATCATCTCTTCCTAAATATCTATTCAAAACCGCGTCGTGTTTGCCTCTTTAGTCGATATCAAGGCCAAGGAAGGAGAGAGAGGGAAAGAGGGGTAGAGAGAGAGAGAGAGAGAGAGAGAGATGAACAATCTCTTCTCGTCCGCGTCTTGGAAACGGGACGTCGAGTCCGGAGGAGGAGGAACAGGGGACGTGGAGATGGGGACGGGAGCAGCGGCCGGCGGGGCTAACCTGGACAGGTTCTTCGAGGACGTGGAGGCGATCAAGGACGAGCTGCGGGAGGTGGAGAGGCTCCACCGCAGCCTGCACGAGGCGAACGAGGCGGGGAAGACGCTGCACGAGGCGTCGGCGGTGCGGGAGCTCCGGGGCCGCATGGACGCCGACGTCGCCCTCGCCCTCAAGAAGGCCAAGCTCATCAAGCTCCGCCTCGAGTCCCTGGACCGCGCCAACGCTGCCAACCGCGCCGTCCCCGGGTGCGGGCCCGGGAGCTCCACCGACCGCACCCGCAGCTCCGTCGTGGCCGGCCTCCGCAAGAAGCTCCGGGACTCCATGGAAGCCTTCGCGGAGCTCCGCCGCCGGATCGCGGCCGAGTACCGGGAGACGGTGGGGCGGCGCTACTACACCGTCACGGGGGAGTCGCCCGACGAGGCGACGGTGGACGCGCTGGTGGCGACGGGGGAGGGGGAGCGGTTCCTGCAGCGGGCCATCGAGGAGCAGGGGAGGGGGCGGGTGCTGGACGTGGTGGCGGAGATCCAGGAGCGGCACGGGGCGGTGGCGGAGCTGGAGCGCAGCCTGCTGGAGCTACAGCAGGTGTTCATGGACATGGCGGTGCTGGTGGAGGCGCAGGGGCAGCAGCTGGACGACATCGAGAGCAACGTCGGCCGCGCCCAGTCCTTCGTCCGCCACGGCACCGACAATCTCACCACCGCCCGCGTCTACCAGAAGAACACCCGCAAGTGGACCTGCATCGCCATCATCCTCCTCCTCATCATCATCCTCGTCATCGTCCTCCCCACCGTCCTCTCTCTCACCAAGAAGTGATCACAGCTTTCCTCCTCCCTCCTCTTCCATCTTCCACGACTTATGTTTCTGCTGCTTTCGATGTCCTCACGGCTATCTTTTCTTCGATTTTGTTTTTTGTTCGTTCATATGGATTTCTTTCTTCTCCCTCTCGATGTTTGTAGATCTACTTATTATGGTGGTGAACATTTCTTGCTCATATGAATTCTTGCTTCTTCTTGTGGACGATGATGACTGAAACATGAGCAGCTTATTCTTCACCTACGATCACAATAATGTCGATGGGCGACAAATCGTATAGCCAACCCTGCACCAAGAAAAGAAGGCAATTTGCTCTTCCTTGCTTCTTCTTAGATCAAAAATGGTGGTCAAAGGGGAGAAGAAAGATGCTTTGAAGTATCTCAAACAATTTCACATGAAATTAGCAGAATTCTTAGCAGTGATCGATCGAGTCAAACCCATGAAACTTTTATTCTATTATATATATATATATATATATATATACACACACACACAGACTGCTGGCTTTCCAAAAATACCCTTCAGACTATAAAAGAGCAGGAAACCTTCCTCCGTTTTCATCTCATCCGATCCGATATGTCCGACTGATGAACCGTTTCATACAAGATTGAATGACATATCGATATATCGGAAGTATTGTCCCGTATCGGTTAAACCCGACACGGGGTGAAGATATCATCCTTGCCTTGGCCGCGGGGAGACTCGGCCTCGTCGTGAACGCCCATCCAAGGAAGCGATTCCACATTCCCCTCACCTCAGCCCACGAAAAGCATCCCGAAACCCCAAACAAATCGGCGGCGGGCTCGCACCGACTCCGCAGCCTCTCATGGTCTCTTCGCCTGCCGCCGCCTTGCTTCTGCCGAGCCCCGTCTTCTTCCCCGCGAAGAACGCCACTGGTAGGCCACTTCCGCCCCCACTTTCCACCCCCCGGAGGCGCGGCATGCGGGTCGGATGAGGAGAGACGCATCCGTGCGCTGCCGACCTCGTGAGCGTTGATGGGTGCTCAGAAGAGCATTCATGCCCGTAATGGTTGGTTCCTGCTCGAGTTCTCGTCGCCGGTTTTCCTTTTATTGGATTCCGAATGTTCTGTTTCTGATCGAAAATTTGGTGTTGGTGGTGTAATGTTACTCAGCTAAGATAGATTTCAATGTGGACCTCACTCAGAAGCTGTGTGGAGCGCTGTTGTTTCCTCATATCAGGTACTTCTTTTCCATCCACTCAAGGTCCATTGTTTCTCATAGCACATTGACCAAAATCTTATTTTGTTATGATGTTTAGGCAATCCAGCAACCCCTTTTCACAGGTTATCGCGAGGTACTCGTCGTTAGTTATGCAAAAGGATGAATTTTTAGAAGGAAAGTTTGGCTATTTTGCTTACATTGGTTTCTTGTTTTCGTTTTTGTTTTGTTAGGCTTTCCATCAAACACCCCAACCTCTTTGGAAGAAACGAGAAGTTGGACGTGTTGTGGGACAAAGGCATTGATGATTTCAACATTCTCATAGCATTCAGGCGTCCAAGGCCTGATTGGCTGTCGCAGCAGTCATTTACCATTCAGGTTCATGTTTCATGTTGAGTCTTCCTTGCTTTTTTACCTCTATATATGTGCCGAAGAGAAATTTTTAAGAGGGCGAAAGAAGAAAGTTGTTGGTGATTTTTATTCTTCTCCTGTCACTTTATTATCACGTCCCACTTGGAGTAGTCTTCTCCAAGGATTGAATTGATATCATT